GGTCTAATAATTTTCGACTTCTACACAAATCCTCCAAAGTGGAACAAATTCAGTAATTCTTCTAGACTTTTATTTTTTTTTTGTGTAAAATATATTAAATTGAAATAATAAGTTCAATTTTTTTGTTACTCTTGAATTATATTTTATTAGTAAAAATTCCATGTTAATATTTGCTTTCTTATAGAAAAATTAAGAGTAGAGATGATTCTATCACTCAGTCGTATTTTAATAATTAGTGAAAATTAACGATCACTCCGAGTCAAGGAAAATAAAAATAAAAGAAATTCAATTCTTTTTACGTTTCGACAGCACAGCTGTCCTCTTCAGAATGAAAAAAAGAAAATTAGAAAAATTAAAATTATAAATTAAGATAGGCACATCTTTGTCGTAAAACGTAAAAAGAATTGAATTTCTTTTATTGTTATTTTCCTTGACTCGGAGTGATCGTTAATTTTCACTAAATTATTATAGAAAAAATGTTTAAAAAGTATTTGCAAACTTTATGGGGATTAAAGCATTATGTGTAGTAATTTCAGGAACACTATGTCACAAGCTCTAATATGGGCCTAAGCACATAAAAATCTTAAACTATACATGAGATAGAAAAGAACGGATAATGTTTCTATCCTTTTCTCAGTTATATAAATAATATTATGATTTACGTTATACGATTTTAATAAATTTGAAACTATTGAAAATTAATATTTTGATAATAATTATGAAATAGAATCTGTTGTCTGTTCGCAAGGAAACGACGTCGAGTACTATTTTTTAATTATATCAAAATATTTTAATAGATTATAATATATACATATATCACTGTAAGCGATATTATAGCGACATAACAATGTATATCATATCCAAAGCGCCATTTAATTTGATCCTACTTCTTCGTGTTCATTGTTAGTAACTCATATTAATCTCTCAAGTTCTCATAATACATATTAGCGAATGATATATTTTCTAAACAAACATACAATGTTACACACAAGATATATCAATTACGGTCCAATTTTATAAAATTTTAATCTTGTCCATAAGTTAACATTTTTATTCTCGTTTATAGACCAAATAAGAAGGAGATAAAGGAGAATTCAAATTGGTATTAAATAAAAACAATGAACTTTAATCCATGCAAATTGGGATATAGTGGCATAATCGTCATTTCTAATAATTTTAAAATTATTTTTTCACTTCTAACAAGCTAGTACTGTAAAAGTAGTAGTCAAATAAAAAACTGCAACATTAATAGTTAGTTTTTTCAACTTATTTATATTTACGTAATAATTATTTAATAATTAATTAAATTAAAACTTAATTAATTAAAAATTTTAACCCTTTGAGCAACAAATATTTTCTAAAAAAATCTCGATTTTGTTTTTTTAAACCAGCTTTTCAGAACAATCAATATTAAGGTTTTTTAATAAATTCCTTTTTTTGATTTTAAGAAGATACTTTTTTTTATAAAATATACGTTTTAGTGGTCTGGCAAAAAATTTAGGTTTTTCATTTGAAGATTAATATTGTGAATCCGATGTCAGTTTTTAAAAATTCAAAATGGCGGATCTAATATGGTGGATATTTTCATAAAATCATTGGATTCATTTGAAATTCGTTATTCGGGGGTTTGCAGGGTCGCTGATTACGAATCCGATGTCAGTTTTAAAAGTATGGCGCTTAATTTTCCCAAAAAATGTCATTAAATTTAAAAATAATTGCCTCAAAATTTTGACTCGGTAGTTTTTGTGATCGTTGATTATAGAAAACTTTTTAAATGATAATGAATACAAAATTTAACAAATTTCATACACATATGATCAATTTTCAAAATATTTTTCCTTATATTGAAACCATGTTTTAAAATTTTATGAATCTGAGATTAAAATCAGAACAGAAAACTCAAAAACTTTTGACTATAACAGAATTCAGACTACGGGAGCAAAATCCTCTGGCTGTTGATTCAGTTGATTCAGGAACAATTCAAAAACTGTAAGCACATCTTCCGGTGGTACGAATGCTAAAGCGAACATGCTTAGTGATGCTTCTCGAATATTTTCTCGTTGGACAACATTGCTAATATTTTCTTAAACTGTATATTTATTATGCCAAATTCGAAATCAGACATTACTGTTTGTGGCTGTCAAATTTGAATTTAAAAATCTACCAGAAGTTAAATTATATTCTTCATCTTCATACGAATCGTACAGTAAAAAGTTTTGACCTACTTTTTCACATTAAACTTATCAGGAATCTCTTCAAGCTCTTGCATACTTTGACGGTGAGATGCCATTTTTTTCAAACGTTCCCGTTGATCTTGCTTAACATCATTAACTCGATCGGTAAGGTTTAGCTAAAATCTTTTTAAATTTGCCCTCTGTCTGAGGGCTTCTCCTCCAGAAACAAGATTCAATATGTGTCTGGTATTTGTAGATGCTCTCGCCCCGCACTGACCCCTATTTCTTTAGCATCACCATTAAATTTTTCGTTCTACGTCACTTAATATTTTGTGTATATAAATCCATTTACAAGTAGATATCGAGCTTCAGCCCTCAATATGACTTAAACTTCTTAATTTGAACTCGCGGTAACGGGACGCATTTAGATCGCCCGCATTTAAATTGTTATAATTTTTTCAGCATCGAATTTTAAATTACATCGATATTTAGTATAAATGCAATAATTTTAATTTCAATTTGAGTAAATTATTATTGAATATAAGTAGAATTGAAATTAATCCTGAAGTGAGTTATTTTTAATTGAACCGAATTGCAAAATGTGAGAATTTTCTCGTGAAATAATAGTAAAAATATATAACATGAAGTTGAAAAAATTTGGAATAGTTGAAACTTTAAAAAATGAGTAATTTTGCTTAAAAGTTTGATTTAAATGAATTATTGTTAAAAATAATAGTCTCGTGAAAGATTTTCTATACTTGTTTTAACTTTTATAAAGCAACATCTTTGTTTAATTGAAATTTTTAAAACTGTGATATTATATGTAATGGAATTTATATTTCACGAAAATAATGTTTTTTCGGCCATATTGAATTATATCAAATTATATTTCGACAACATAAGGTTTCTAGCAAAGGTACAGGTAGGTACTCTAGTTTTGGCCAATTTAAAATAAGAAGATTGGAAACGTTAGGAAACAGTGCTATGATTGGTTCTAATGACCCTATTTAAATTAAACACATTCGCGGATCTCAGTAATAAATTTTACAATTATTGCTATAGCCCAAGAAGAAGAATGTAACATTTGCATTACAGCTTTATAATTTTAAAGACAACTTTTTCTGGGAACAAGCTTTCTTTTTCATGAAATCATATTAGATTCAATTCATATTTTAATAAGAGACTTTAGATGGATAAGTTGAATAATTCTGAATAACAAAAATTAAATATTTTTTTGGAATTATAACATTAATGTATAGAACAAATTTTGGATCTGTTACAAATAATATTTTCTGGATTAGTCATACAAGGGAAGTACGCCATTTTGCATATAATCAGGAGACTATGATGTTCTTTATCAATTATATACATAATTTATAACATTTCAATGAAACTTAAGGTTCAAGAAATTTAAATATATAATTGATTCATGATATTTCAATGGTCAAGACTTGAAAAAATTGACACATGACAAGACAAATAAAGTTTAGATAGATGTTCATAAAATGAATTGTGGCAATTCATTTCGTCTAGCAGCTTTAAGGTAGTGACGTCACATTTACTCTCACCGCGTGCAAAAGACGGAGAAAGGGAACATTCGGCGACGCCAGCATCTTTCACTTTTGATGACGGCGTAAGTTCGCGGTGGTTGATGACGCGGCACGTGGGTTATACCCCTAGTCACACATATACATACACATTTATGTATATCCATATGTGCAGCTACTTACACTCATGCAAACGGCACATTCACTGAACGATTGAAACATATCCGAGAGTCGAAAGATGTACCACCCTGACCTGGTCACGCTGGTTCATCAATGAACACATTTCTGTTGTCAATACTTGCTATGAATTTCTGTAACTACTTTATTCTATAATCCATTTTAAATCATTCTTTCCAAATTAGCTTTTCAAATGTGTCAAAATAGTGAATGAATAATAATGAAACTTGTTATAAGCTTGCAGTACACCAAGTGTACAATAACTTGACTGTGGAGCGAAATTATTTCAATATTTTAAATAAATTACAATTATTTATAGCGCCCCTTAGCGGATACGACCCGGTCTCCCCTATACTTATAATTTTAGGCTTTCAACTTTTTTTTAATTTTTAACCGTTCACATTATTTTTCTGTTCTTTTGTTTTCATTTCGAATATCTATCATGAAATTCAAAACAGTTTTCATGTAGCTAAAAATGTCAAATAGCGTACTGTATTTAATCTTTAATAAATGTCATTTGATTGTAACTTTCGTCATAACCTACAAATAAATCTCCATCTCTGGTGTCAATTAGATCAATTATTTTGTTATCAGAAATATTCTAATGTGTTTTTCTTTAATATTTTTTAATCAACCGGTAATTGATAGGATCCTGAGTTTCGATCACCAGCAGAGTTAGTTCCCCTATTTTTTAATAGTTTTAATTTTCATTTCTTATCAATTATTAACGACGACATCTGGGTTTAAATATACTGTACATTTAGAAAAATGACTTGCTGATGATAGACAATAATTATTGTTTGAGAATAATTTCTGGAAAAATTCAAATATAAAAATAAGTAGATATACAGGGAGCGTTCTGGACTTACCCCCCATGGTTTGAGTCTGGACTAAAAGTGTCGGTAATATATCGGTGCAGGGATCTTGGTCCAGAACGCTCCCTGTATATCTACTAAAATAAAAAATTCGAATTTCTCAAATTTTTTTAGAACCAATGAAAATAATCCTTTCTCACTTTTCGAAGTTATTTCATGTAAAAAAATCAAAATCTGCAAAAGGTGTTCAAGAGCGCCTATCGCCTATTTTTTTCTTTATTGTATAGTAACTACGGCAGCTCAAGAAACTTGAAAGCAGCTCACAGCCGCTCGAAAGATGAAGATCAAATTAATGTACAAAGACAGTTATATGGCGCATACATCGCAAATTAATGGTGAGTCCATTTTTTTAAATATATTTCCATATTTGGAAATTTTAAACTCGTTTTTCTCGAAATGATATTTTTCAAGTCAGTAAGGGAGACCGAGGTGAGTTGTAACAAAGCCGATTTCTTAAAAGCTATGACCTTTGAAAAATTTTGAAAACCGTGAATTTATTACATTTTTAATTCACTATTTGATGGAAATTTACTTGACCACCTGAGAAACATTTTTGTGATGTATTTAATATGTGTGCAAAAAAATTGCTAAAAGTAAGTTTTCGGTCGAAATTTTGATACTTTATTATTCGACACATATTAAATTTTTGTTATTCTAATATTTACCTTAATTACTGCTGGATATCCTAGTTTCATGAAATGGTTTTGTTTTTGTGTCAGTCTCGAAATTTAAAATAAAAAATAATTATTCGAACCGATGCACAGTTTTTCGCACCTAGGCGAGTTGTAACTGGCTGTTTCAACTCACATAGGTTTACGCAAATTTGTGCTTGATCGAGTAGAGACTGTTTGGATTTTTGCTAAAGTATATGGTTTTATATTATGGCTTTAAAAGTATTTAGAATTTTACAAATTTTCGTGTAAATCACTTTCATATTTTCGAAAGTAAAAAAAATATTAATAAAAATATTTTTCGAATTGCTCTTTCATATACAAAAGTCAAAAATAATTTCTACTTGCATATAGGTTTTTTTGTTATTATTTAGCTTGTTGCTCATTTTTAATTTAGTTTTCGGTTTAATTTGATTTATATTGATCTCATAAAGTTTCTTACTCTAATTACTCCTTAATTATTTAAACATTCGCAGACAAAATTTTATTATTTATTTATTTTTTATTATTCTTAAAATTCTATAAAATATATATTATATAATAAAGTAAAGTATGATTTCATTGTATGCCCTTTCAGGCCTTTACAATCTCCTCAACATCACTACTAAACTCTTTCTAACTCACAAACTTTTGGGGTCCCTACTTTTGCGGCTGCAGCCGACTTAGGTTAGGAGTACTCGCATTCGCCTAGACATTCGGCCAGGGGAGAGGAAAACTGCAGAAAACCCACTTCCCGAGTACAACCGGTTTATTGATGTCGAGTCATGAATGTACATTTGGATAGCTATCACAAATGCACAAACATAACCTCGGCGTCAAACCTCCCGTTTTATATATCTCGGTCAGTGAAAAACACCGAAACTGTAGCGATTCACAGAGGGTCACCCATCCAAGTACTAACCGCACTCAAAGTGGCTTAACCTCTGCGATCGCAAGCAACGGGATTCCACCAACCGAGCTATACCATCGGTTTTATATTATATATAATATTATTCTTAGCTATTACACGGAGAAACTTTTAATACCACTAATTCTTAAAACTGGTGAGACATTTTAGTATGTTAGGTTAGATTCAAGGGAAAAACGACATAGGTTATAGAAATTGCTATTGAGACTATCAAAAACACTCATTCAGTATATATTTTACAGTTTTTCATAAGGAAACTAACGAAAATTAGTATGTTGTTTTAGAAAGAAAATAATAATTTTTGCAAAGTTGGGAAAGCCATGAATTAAAAAGAAACACAACAAATTAATTGTCTATAGATACTCATAGAGACGATAGTGATACTTGGATCTGATGGTAGATGGCATTAGTGTATGTCACTGTAACTGTAGGTAAATATATTTAACACGACGTAAGAACCTAACCTATATTATTAACGCACACACGCACACGCTAGTAAAGACACGACGATTGGTCACGGAAACCGAAAGATCGCACGATTCGTTAGAAGTACACAGCTGAATCGTCCTTATATATTAAACGAGTGGAAAAATATGTGCCTTCGAGAGAGAGCATTTTTTAAAATAACTTACTAATCAAATTATGTAAATAAGTAAAAGTCGTGAAAAAAATTATGTTATATTGAGGAACAGTTCTTGAATTTAATTTGTCATGAGGAGACATTCACGTTTATTAATAAAAGGTTTTTTTCTTTCATACACGTGTGAATTTCAACTTCGAAAACATTAGGGTTAGTTCGCGACGTCAGGTGATGGACTCGGTGATGCTCGGGCGAAATCGGTTAAGTCCGCCCGCAGTCCTTCCAAAATTGGTATGTTACGTTAGAATGTCTGTTATATATTCTATCTATATGTGGAAAAAAGGTTAGAATTACCGTATTATTTCACAAACAAAAACTAGCATTTTATTTTTTTCTAAAGAAAAATAAGACTATTTCTAATGCAGATAGTAATTTTTGTACACCGAAGGTTGCTTAATATATAACGAACTTATCATATTTTCGTATTAATGTTGAAATTATTATCACAACGCACGAAAAATCCTCACATTCTAACGTACTTTTAGAATAAAGATAACCAAATATATTTAATATTAGAAGAAAAAGTTTCTCCGTGTATAAAGCTCAAATTGTTATTATAAATCGTAATTAAATACCAAAGATTGGTTTAAATTATCTAATTACCTAGTGTTAAAGAAAACGAAATATGTGATAACCTAATTCCAAAAATAAATGAAGGTATTAAAACGAGTGTTTTATTCGTTTCTATTAATAAGATGTCCTTACTAACTAATTAAATTTACTTTACTAACTAAACTAAGGATTAAAAATTAATTTTTTCCATTAAAATCACAAGATTTGCAACTGTTATAACTAACGTCGACATGGGTCAAATTTTCTCAAAAAAATTAAAGTTGGTCATGGGTCTTTCAATTTTTGTGAAACTTGGTATAAATATAGTGTTTTATGACAGAAGATTTTAGGAAAAAAAGATTTTTAAAAATTTTCGAAATTGTGGATTTTACCGGGCTTTAAACATTAAAGCACATTTTTTTTGAAAAACGAATAACTTTTATCCATTTAGTTAGATTTTGTTTATATTTTTGGTAATAATAGTTGATTATCTAACAATTTAAAGTGCAATATTAATAGAAAAAAAATCCAAAATTTGCCCGGAAAAAAAGTCAAAAAAAATTTTGATTTCATTTTTTCGGGCATAAGCACCCCGTCGATTTTTTTGAAACTATAATATTTGGATTCGTTATCTTCTCCAGAATTTTTTGCAAAAAAAAATCACTGAAGACTTTAAAACTATCCGAAATATCGAATTTTTTGTCTCGAGCACGGAGAAAAATAGAGTTTGAAAAACTGGGAGTCAATATTGAAAAAACAGGACTCAGTCCAGTAAAAGTACATTAATTCATTTCCATCAAGCATCTTAGGGTATTGCGTATAGTGTATAGAGGGGCTTAGTTCCAAATGTCACTGTAAAGAGCATTAAAACACAGGCGAAGATTATAAGGCGCGCTGCAGTGTGCATTAGGGTGTCCGTTATTTCCCAAGTTTTCTATTTTCATTTGGGTATCGTCAAAATCGATTCTTTTTGACCTAAAAACAATTCTAGAAACTAGAAAAAATTTTTACGATGCCGTTTAACCTTGCCTAAATAACAATACTTTTCCCATTTAATTAACATGGGATTTTTGCACTTTTTAGAAAATAATTTTTATTTTCTTTATAATACTCTTTGACTAACCAACAATGCTTGATTTTGTTTCTATTATGATTCCTTTAGATAGAAGATTTTTCAAATTATCACGAAAAATTTATTACACAGGTTTTAAAAAGGTCAATTTCATTTTTATTGATTTTTCTGATTATTTTGCTAAATCTACTTATTAATTAATTTTTATTCGGTATTTCATTGAAAATTTCTTGTTATATGCATCCAAATAGACTATAACAATAATTTCAATTCATAAACTATCTAAGAATCACACAGTAGACTAAATCCATTTCAAATCAGGCATGTCGACTAACTTCATGTCATAGAAAAAAATGAAAAAATAATGATGGTGTCAAACCATCATACAGGTAGATATTAATTTTGTATTAACTTAATTTATTTTAGTTTTTTGTAAAAATCTTATATTTGTAAAATTTTATAGGTATTTAAAAAATAATTTTTATTGTTTAATAAAGTGGCCTGATGATGGTGTTAAATCAAGACACGGAAACGTTGCACAACTAATGTAACATTGTTTCATTTATCACTCTTCCGATAATCGAATAAAAAAGGATTTACACCACCTTTTTTTGTTATCAAATTTTTACTACAAATTCTTAAAATAATTATGAACACTTCCTATGAATTTCAAGCGGGCTAAACCATTCTGGCAATCAGGAGAATTTTTTTTTTTAATTTATTTTTACAAATTTTCAAATTGTTAACGTTTACGTCAACAATGTTATAACGATTCATTTTGTTTTTGAAAATGCAAGTTAACAATTTGAAAATTTCCAAAAATAAATATTTAAAAAAAAATTCTCTTGATTGACAGAATGGTTTAGCCCGCTTAAAATTTATAAGAAATGTTCATAATTATTTAAAAAATTTGTAGTAAAAATTTGATAACAAAAAAATGTGACGTTTTTGAGAAAATTGATCTTATTCATTTTCAGAAAATCATCCCCTATTTTTATAATTTTAAATATTTTTTAAAATTTCAAACTGAATTGTGAAGAGGACAAGACCATCTACAAGACCCAAGAAAGAAAATTAAATTATACTCCAAAGAAAAAAAATGACAAGCAAAACAATTTTTTTTCTATGACATGAAGTTACTCGACATGCCTGATTTGAAATGGATTTAGTCTACTGTGTGATTCTTAGATAGTTTATGAATTGAAATTATTGTTATAGTCTAATTCGATGCATATAACAAGAAATTTTCAATGAAATACCGAATAAAAATTAATTAATAAGTAGATTTAGCAAAATAATCAGAAAAATCAATAAAAATGAAATTGACCTTTTTAAAACTTGTGTAATAAATTTTTCGCGATAATATGAAAATTTCTCTATCTAAAGGAATCATAATAGAAGCAAAATCAAGCATTGTTAGTTAGTCAAAGAGTATTATAAACGAAATAATAATTATTTTCTAAAAAGTGCAAAAATCCCATGTTAATTAAATG